CACCGTTCATTGAAAGGGTTTCCCATAGTATGCCAGAGGTACCCTTTTGTCACAGAGAAATACGAAAATCCCTTAAAAAGCTAGATACAAACAAAGCAATGGGTCCGGATGGCATTCCCGCAATAGTACTCAAAAATTGCGCCAACGAACTCACCCCAACTTTCGCAAAATTATTCAATTTGTCTTACAGGCAAGGAGTATATCCATCATCATGGAAGTCTGCCGCAGTACAACCCATTCCAAAGAAAGGAAAAAAGACAGATCCGTTAAACTATAGACCAATTGCTCTACTTCCGGTGATGTCAAAAGTAATGGAAAGAGTTGTGAACAATCACCTAACCAAGTACTTGGAAAAGTACAAAATTATCAACGATAAGCAATACGGATTTCGAAAATATAGGTCAACTGGCGATTTACTTACATACGTCACTCACTTATGGCAAAAAGCGATTGAGTTGCGGGGTGAAACAAGAACAATTGCCTTAGATATATCTAAAGCATTCGACAAAGTTTGGCATGAAAATCTGCTCAACAAGCTCAAAGCAATGGGATTATCGCCGAAACTTTGCACATGGTTTGAAAGTTACCTAAAGGACAGATCCATTTATGTTACACTGGATGGCCAGAACTCCAACTCTTACCAAATAAATGCTGGTGTGCCACAGGGAGCAATCCTTTCGCCAACTCTTTTTCTGATTTATATAAATGACCTCATAGATAAAACAGTAAATCCACTTTATTGCTTTGCAGACGATGGCAATGTAGTCTCCTCACTCATACCACCCACAGGTCTTTCCGCACGTGAATTCCATCATCTTAGACTAACTCAAATATCGCAGATAAATAACGACCTGGAGATAATAGAGGACTGGGGTAACAAAAACCTTGTACAGTTCAACGCGCAGAAAACCCAAGCAGCTCTGTTTTCAAAAAAGACCAGCACCGGTGAGCCAAACATTATGCTATCTGGAAGTGCTGTCACATTACAGAGTCAGTTGAACATCTTGGGGGTTACTGCAGAGACCAACATGTCTTGGCACAGTCACGTGGCAGATATTGCTAAAAGGGCGTCCCAAACTGCGGCAGACTTCCATGATGATGGATATACTCCTTGCCTGTAAGACAAATTGAATAATTTTGCGAAAGTTGGGGTGAGTTCGTTGGCGCAATTTTTGAGTACTATTGCGGGAATGCCATCCGGACCCATTGCTTTGTTTGTATCTAGCTTTTTAAGGGATTTTCGTATTTCTCTGTGACAAAAGGGTACCTCTGGCATACTATGGGAAACCCTTTCAATGAACGGTGGAGTTTTTCCGTTTGGCACTATTAGGTTGGAGTTGGAGGAAAACATTTGGGCCAGCATATTGGCTTTTTCCTCTGATGTTGTGGCTAAGTGATTATTTTTATCTGTAAGTGGTGGTATGGATGACTTGGTGAAGTTAGATCCAACAGCTTTTGCAAGAGACCAAAAGGACCTAGAACTACTTGGACAATTCAGCAACCTGTTTTTTATTCTTTGATTGTATGTTTCTTTAGCGGAGTCAATAGTAATTTTGCAACTATTTCTGGCTTCTATAAATTCTGTGTGGTTTTGAGCGGTTTGTTGTCGTTTCCAAAGGTTATATGCTCTGTGTTTTTTCTGTACAGCCGTTTGACACTGGCTGTTGAACCAAAGTTTTGCATTAGCTTTACGTTTAGTTGTATGTGGGATATATGCATCCATTCCAGATAAGATTACTTGTGTTATTTCATTACAGCAAATAGTGGGATCAGCTGTTTTAAAGCAAACCTCGTGCCATGGAAAAACCAGGTAAAACTGTTTTAGGTCATTCCATTTTGCCGATTTATAGTGCCACATTTTACGAGGAAGTGGTTGTTGGCTTGGTGGGATGAGCATTTCGCACTTTGTTATTATAAGTTTATGATCGGACGAACCAAGTGGAGCATCTACTTGAATTGTGTACGAGTCAGGATTTGTGGTTAGGAGCAAGTCTAAAAGCGCTGCGAATTCGCCCCTTTCTGAGATACGGGTAGGTTCATCGACAAGCTGTGTTAGACCACAACTTATGGCAAAAGCTTCTGCTTCTCTGCCTTCGTTATCTGTTTTGTTGTGGTGTTTCAGCCAGGGTATATTGTGGACGTTGAAATCGCCTAAAAAGACAATTTCCGCCTGTGGATAGTTTGACTGTATACTATCACAGCTTTCGGATAATGTCGCGAAAAAGTTTTGGTACTCGGTGTTAGATGGCGGTCGGTAGAGGCAGCAGATAAACTTGGTCGATGACTTTGAGGTGAATTTTAGCCATATGATATCAAGGTTCGCTGGTTCTAGCTTCTCCTCTCGATGACATGAAAGGTCATTTTTAATGTACACACAGATCCCAAAATTATGTCGAAATCGGTGGTGTAAGTCATAGCCGGGATAAAGATAGTTCACAATAGGTGTTGCAGAACTGATTTTAGTTTCAGTGAGAACAAGGATGTCAGGTCTTTGTTCTTCAAGATGTTGGTGAACTGAATTCATATTTGTACTTATTCCTCTTATATTGCTAAAATCAATTCTGAGTTGAGTTTTTGATCTTCTCTTTATATCTTTGCATGAAGGACCCCCAGGATCACCCGACGCCCGGAGATCCGAGTGGTCGGGTATTTTACCTCCGGAATATTTTGATCCTGGAGGCGCCATCATGCTATAACTTTTATAGATAAGTGTGTTCCATTTTGTGAATGTATTAATGTATTGTACTAAGGGATTTACTTAAGTACAAATTTCACCACCAAGTACGAAACAGACTCCCAACGGTAGGTATATGACGCTGTTTCTTATGTTCAATATAAATATGTTTTATGGTAGCAGCGGAAAAGCTATGAAATCGTTAATCGATGAGTTTCCATGTGAACTCGTTTTTGTAACGATATTTGTTCGGTATTAGTCCAATAAAGAATGTAAGTATAGCTTGAGCTAGTGTACGCTGTTGCCAATCGCGGGTGTACCAAAACGGAGAAAATGGGGTTGGTGGAGCTGATTAAAGCTGTGTGACAGTACATTTTTTTTGTTTAAGCTATACCTGATTGATTGTTATAAAAATCATCACCTATAATGTCAGAGTCAGACCAAGGAAGCCTTAAGTTTCGAGGGCACCTAATAGTGTAGCAAACAATTGGAAATTGGAACAATGTTGGGAACAAAATTTGAATGTAACGAAAAACCGAGTAATGTAATAATAGTTTAATGTAAAAAATAATAATTCCTACATAATTTGTAGACACGGCCTCAAAATTAAAAATATAAACATACACTTGAACAAACCCAGCATTAAATTCTTGCGAATATGACCCATTTAAACTTAAACATAAATAAAAGACATTCACAAACATGAAAATTCAATCAAAAATCTTGTACATATAGGTACAATTTTTTTTTATGAGGCTCTCTCTAATTAATATTATTTTAGAGCTACGCCGAATTTAGGAAAATATGTTATGGACTTGATTACTTTTGGCAAATGATTGTGCATTTTTTGTACAGAAATTAACTCGGAGGATAGGGTCGGGTCGGCAGGTAAAGATCATGCTCCGCGCATCTAAGTGGATAGTTATGGAATGGCCTCTCTGAAATACTTGATAGGTGTTCGCGGATTAAGCAGACTGATTCTAATATGAATAAGGAAGAGCTAGGAAGTGTTAATTTTTTTTCAGCTATCGGAATCGAGTTATTTCAAACATGAACAAAGTTTATAATAAAATAACAAACTTGTTTCGGATTGTTTCTGTCTGTTAGTATTTACAAAAGGAAACAACAAAAAATAAATAAATCCGGGGTGCGCGACAAATGACTCTAGATAGTAATTTTCACAATTGTCAATAGATGGCGCTATTTCTCAAAAACAATTTAAGAGAAGCACTTTATTTTTAATTGTTCATTACAGTAAAATGTCTAAGAATAGATGGAATTACGATATTTGATTGTATGGATTTTATTTCATTATCTATTGTTGGTTCATAAAAAAAGGGCAAACTGAACTATCTGTCGTTTCTTGATGCTTGACAGCCTTGAAGTTCTGTATCTTCCTCCGTCATGTTCCGTTTCTCTTCTTAATTGTGGGGAAATTCTGATCTTTCTTGGCAGATTTTTTGGTAGAACGTCATACTCATACACACAAAAATAACTATAGCAACAACCCGTTGGTTGTTTTTCGTCAGCGTGCTTTGCCAACTCCTTTTTTATATTTTTCTTATCTAATGTTCTGTAACACCCCCACCGCTCAGACCAAATTTACCCATAGTTGAGTGCTGTTTGGGTTTATTGAAAAACTACTTGTACAAAAACTAAGAAGGAGAGGTTGAAAAACAAATAAGATTATTGGTTTTTCTCACCAGTATCTAACTCTCAACAATAGTAGACAAAGTATGTTTACAAATACACAACCGTATCAATATTAACTTTTTGCGCCAGTTTGGGATAACATAAAACCTTCATATTCTAAAAAATTGCGATCTAAAAATGAAGTTCATTTAAATCTGTTCCTCTTCTGAAGAGCACTGTTCACTTACACTTATGTCTTGTCATAGGTATATATAGTTTATTTGTTGAAAATCTGTACTCAGGTTTCTTCTGAACTGGGTAACCGGCTAGCTGGTAGAATTGGTGTTCAATCATGAAGTCCTCAGTCTATTTGATGATGATAGCGCATTTCTATTGCGTCCATTGTTTTTAGCATGATTGCTTTTTCTCCTAGTGTACTAGCATCTGCTAGTGTGGAACAAAGGACGAATGTCGTTTTGAGTGCATGTAAATGAGGTAAGGTTAGCTCTTGGAGTAAATCGACCTTATAGTTCATCCATCTATTAGATCTGGTTAGCTAAGCTGTCTGATACTGAGTGATGTAAGAGAAAAAATTAAACCGTACAATGGTTAATTCTGGATATCCATCTGTTTTTAATGTTATGTAAATACTGATTTCTACTAATAATTACCTTACTAGTAGATTATATGATTACTAACTGCAGTCGTAATCTTGTAGATGTTTGGGAGGTACTCTTTTTCTTGTGATTCTAGGTCGAGGTCTCATTTCAACATTAGAGGTCGGTTCTGATGGTGTGAAATCGGTATCTGATAGCGCATCATTTACGTCCATATTTTGATACAAAGCATTTTGGATATCATCATACGAGTCATGATTCGGTGTGTAGACAACTAAATCGCAACTCTGTCTCCGTGTTATTGGTTCTGAAACGTTGTGAAATGGGTCATATATTGAATCATCAGTATCTGTATCTGAATCTTCAGATGATCCAGATATTATAATACCACGATCTTGTTTTTCAAAGCTCAATGTTTCTTTTGCTGGTATTGGTCTAAGGTCATCAATATGAATTTTGACTATATCATGATCTCTTTTTATATTATAAATAGTATTAGAAACCTTTTCTAATACGGTTCAGGTTTCTTCCCAAGCAGGATGAAAAGTTTCATGGGTTGATGCCTTTTGTAGTCGCGCAATTACTAAGTCGCCATTTTTGGAAACTCGACTTGGTTCTTTATTTTCAACATAACCTCGCTGATATACAGTGTATACCATTTAAAACGAAACAGGCTAAATATCTGATGTCACTTTTATTTTATTTTTTTTTTAAATCGCTCGTACACGTAATTTGATTGTGTGAGTGTTTGAAGCATTTTCAGCACTAACTTGACCCTCTAGGGGCGGTGGGACCAACCCTTACCATTCAAAATGGAACAGGGGTCGAGTGATACCTTTTTTAAAAGAGCGGACAATTTTCTTTCAAATGACATCAAATGAAAGAAAATTGAACGCTCTTTTAAAAGAGGTATCACTCGATCCCTTGTTCCATTTGAAATAGTAAGGGTTGTTCCCACCCCGTCTAGAGGGTTAAAGTAGAAGTGCTAAAAATGGTTGCAGAAAAGTTCCTCCTTTAAAAATCAAATCACGTGTATGAGCGATTTTTTTGAAAATAAACGTGGCATCAGATATTTAGCCTGTTTCGTTTTAAATGTACACCCTGTATATCCTGACATTCACAAATTTTTTTGAGTCGCTCTTCCCTGAGCACAGCATGATTTACAACTGGTACTTTAAACTTTGGATGATTATGATCTCCAGAAAGAGGTAATGTGTATCCAAGAAGAGCATTGGTACGACTTCGCAAGGTGAAAAGAGCTCTAGGTAAATATCTGTCCCAGTGTTCGGGAGGTTTATTAGTTAAAAATACCTTCAAGGTTTTTTTAAGCTTCTGATTTCTACGTTCAACTGGATTTGCACGTTGATGGTAAATTGGTGTTGTCACATGTTCAATTTTATGTAATTGACAAAATTTCTCCCAAACACCGGAATGAAATTGCGGTCTGAAATTATCGTAGAAGGATAGCCTAGCCTAGTACATACTTCGTTATCAAAACACTTTAAATCTTCAGCAATCGTTGAAGATACAGCTTTGGCTTCTAACCATCGCGTAAATAGATCCTCAACTACAATAATAAAACGATTGTGATTCAAAGTTTGTTCATAGGGTCCCAAAATATCAATACTAAATATAAACTTTGTCTGCGGGATTATTTGGAATATGAGCAGACATTGGTGCTGTTTTTTGAATATTTCTACCTTTTACAATACGACATGTTGAACAGTTTTTTACATATTCCGATACATTCCTTTTTAATTCTCGTTACCAATAGTATGTAGAAATTCTATTATAAGTTTCGTCTCGACCAGGATGACCTGCAAATGTTGAATCGTGATAAAAGTATAAGACGCGATCTATAACGTTGTAAGGTACAACTAACTTATTTTCACGTTTAAATAAAAGATTATCATCCAATAAATAAGCATTGAAAAATTCTTGCTCTATGTTAGTTCTTGGTTCTCGTTCTAGAATAAGTTTCCAACGAGTAACTTTGTCTTTTAGACGCATGTTCTTTAGCTGGGAAGATGATAATTCTTGATACAACGAAGCATCATTTGCAGGTGCTACATAGTTAGTATAGGGAAATTTCTTTATTCAATATGGATTTATTGTCTTGACAATTAATGAGACAATTATCAACTGAGCTTTCAATCAAGTCACAATCGGTTATTTCTGGAGGAAATGAACGCGATAAGTCATTTACTTTTTCCGTAGTTTCCTCAGTACTTGTTTTTCGTGATAGAAGAAATCAGGCAAACAATTTGAAACTCCTGAACAATGCTGAATAACAAAATTGAACTCCGCCAGAAGAAGAGACCATCGCGGTAATTTCGCTTTAGCGTCAGCATAATGATTTAACCATATTATTGACCTATTATCAGTTATACGTGTGAATTTTCTATCCTCACGATATGATCTATATTTTTTAATCGCCCACACTACGGCTAAACACTCTTTCTCATTTATATGATACTTACGTTCTGCTTTATTTAGACGAGCACTTGAGTATGATATAATTTGTTTCTCTCTATTTATTCCAATTTGATAGAGTAGTGCTCCCATTCTCACCTCACTTCTATCTGTTTGTAAAACAAACGGTAGTGAAAAATCTGGTCTATGTAATTGAAGTGGATTTAAGAAAACAGTTTTTATTTTCTCGAACGCACCTCTTTGACGATCATTCCATTTCCATTTACTGTTTTTACAAAGAAGATCAGTTAGGGGACCAGTAATCTCTGCCAATTTAGGAATATATTCTCTAAGCCAATTTACTGTACCTAAAAATGATTGAAGTTCTTTTTTATTTCGAGGAACAGGATATTTGTTAATTTCTTGTAAATGAGGCATATTTAGACTACCATTTATTGTATGTCTTAGAAAGTCCAGTTGATTTGTAGCAAATTTAGATTTTTTTTTTATTGAACATTGAAGTTGGTGGATACTTAAGTCTTTCTAGCACTAACCTGATAGGCTTTCTATGATCTTCGTAATTTTTGGAATAAATAATTATGTCATCGAGATAAACCAAGGTGAATTTATGTAGAAAACCTGTCAGAACTTCCTGCGACATAAACTTTTGGTAACTGCTAGGGGCATTTTTGAGTCCAAAGGGCATTACTGAAAATTGAGAATGCCTTCCATCTGATGTTGAAAATGCTGTTAAAGCCTTAGACCTTTCTGATAAGCCCACTTGCCAATATCCACTTTTGAGATCCAATGATGTAAAAACTGACGCAGATCCCAATTCCTTTAGTGTTTCATGAATTTAAGGTAATCTAATAGGTTCGTCTTCTGTTATCTCATTCAATCTGCGGTAATCAACACAGAATCTTGGCTTTTTTTTTCCATTCGTTCGATTATTACGGCAGATGAGGAATAGGGTGAAACAGAAGGTTCCATAACACCAGTAGCCACCATTTCACTGACTTGTTCATTTAAAATAAGTTTTTTATGTTCACTTGAGGAATATGGTTTTGTTTTTACCACTCTATTTGAATTAAGTCTTATGTCATGTTTAATACTTCGTGTTATTGGTCGTTTCAATGATTCATCAAAAAGATAAGAAAATTCTGTTTCTGATAATTATTTTGAAGCTTTGTATCTAAATGATTTAAATCAAATTCGGGAACGCTTTGCATGAGATGATTTTGAAAAGATGAAGAAAGGTAAATAGTACGTCTGATACCTGTACTAATATGTATAAAAGATCGAATAATATCCAAAACAGCTTGTTGTTCTAAAAACCAAGAAAAACCCAGTATCCAGTCTTCTGGTAAATTAGGTACAACAAGAAAATTCGACTCCAATATCATGTCCAGAAGCAAATATTTAATCTTGAAAGGACCATGAATCTAAATTTCGATAGGACCACATCCAAAATGAACTGTTCTTTTTGTTACTGCTGGAAGGACTTTGAAAAGTTTAGAGGAAACTAAGTTAATGCTGGTTCCTATGTCGACAACGGCATTAATTTGAAAATTATTTGTTGATATAGGAATTTTTGGAGAATCTATTGGTTTCCCTGCTGAATAATTTTTTAGGGTTGGTCTACCGCAGGATTGCGACTTCCCCTGTTGGCGTTTCCCTGTTGATAGTAAGTTGAGTTGTCAATTTGGGGTGATGAATGTCTTTGAAAATACCTGTTATTTCTCCCTTCATTTCTAGCTAAATATGGATTTCGTGAACATTCATTATGGAAATGCCAATCACCAAAAAATTTACAAGCACTAGGTGGTCCTTTGAATCCAGCATTTCTGTCATTTGTAGAATTAATTTTAGTAAATTTTCTATTTGCATTGAACGTATCTTGCATCTGCTGTTTCTTCAAATCATTCTCTATGGCTGTAACTGTGTGTGAAAGCTGTTGTATATTATTGAAATACAAACCTCGAATTCTAGAACGAATATTTGGTAGGAATTGTTCTACCAGTAAGTTGATCAATTGATCTTCAGGCGAATCTGGAAAAAGACTTTAAAAGAGACCCTGTTTCGTAGCAATGAAAACAGAACATATTTCAGATTCTTCTTGATTTTTTGCCATAATATTGTGAAGTTAATTTTGTTACAGTGGCAGTACTATTAAATCTTTGCATAAATAAAGTCTTCAACAATTCCCAAGTGAGAGGAAGTTGGCGATAAGGCTGAAACTATTGTGCAGCTTGGCCTTTGAGTATGCCTGCTGCTAAATCAACTTTGTCAGAACCCTGAGTTTGGTCTTTATTGAATATTGATTCCATTTTTTAGGATGTAAGCTAATGGTTCTTCAGTATCATTCCCATAAAATGAAGGTTTGAGTTTATCTTGAATGTTAATAGCAGAGCAGAAGCAATTGTCTGTACCGCAGACAAAAAGGCATTTGTCATTTCTGTAAGATGAGTTTCGTCTCTTCCTATAGCTAACAGAGTTGACTGTATTTTGACCGCATTTGCAAAACAATCAGTATTTGTATCGTTTGATTCGTCAAAAAATGGGTTAAGTGATTGGTGTTGTGATGAAAACTTTGTTGATTTATTTGCTTAAACTGAACACGGTGAGAGTTGAGTTGATTTTGTCTTTGTTTGTCTAATCCTTCACAAGAATCCCAAAATTCTCCTCCATCACTATTGTAAGTTGCCATTTTTACTGTTCTAGCTCTGAATAGGTATAAGTATAATAAATAAGCTAAATTTGGTGTGACCACTAATAAGCGTTGCTCTTCATCTTCACTCACATACCAACAGAGAAAAAAATTCCAAAATCTTGCTTTCGGCAACAGCACTACTTAAATGTGGGGAAATTCTGATCTTTCTTGGCAGAACGTCATACTCATACACACAAAAACAACCATAGCAACAACCTGTTGGTTGTTTTTTGTCAGCGTGCTTTGCCAACTCTTTTTTTATATTTTTCTTATCCAATGTATCTATAACATGATGGCTATCATTACATTATCATTGCATACATAATATTATAATATTAAATGATTAAATGACAGAACTTTAGTTTTCGCAGCGTTGGAGAAGGGAAGTTAGTGTCGCACTATGATTTGAAGGTAAACAAGTCGTTGGACATGGTTCTATAAAGAGTTACAATATGCGGGTTGCTCCAAGTGAGACTAGTATCATCAGCAAAGAGACAGATTCTACCGCTGATTCCTAGAGATTAACAATTTCGTGGATAAACAGCAAAAATAATATTGATGGACCCAACAAAGAATTCCACATTCCATTTACCAGAGGAAGAGCCTCGAATTCTGTGATACTACAATTTGTTAATTAAAATAATGTGACTTACACAGTCGAATGCTTTAGAAAAATCACATATATTTATTGATGTTGTAGAGTGCCAGATTGTTCAATCCTAAGAGAAAATGCTTTGAAAGCCAGACCAGAAAGTGTACTTGTAAACCCCAGTAAATTGATAAAAATTCGGCCTAACGTGGGACCTTCGTGCTATTGGTCTTTACAGAAAAGTCTGTGAGTACTTCTTTATGATCTGAAAAACCTGAACTAAAGACAGTACAGTCAACGAAGTTCGGCTCAAAATAGATGATAGTAGGTATACTAGATTTGGTTTTAGTTTTTCGGGTTGGAGATTGAACATGCATGACTATATATACCAAAAGATTCCAGTAGATAGACTGAAGAGATTTTTGCGGGGCACACACACTGGAAAAATTTACGTTAAAGTCGCCACATTAAATTAAGTTTTGAAAAAAGGCAGCCAAATCAGCGCCAGGTGTTCTGTAATTGCAAACAATAGAGGTCGAAGATATTGTTGAAAACGATAGAGAATTCAAATAAAAATTGTCGAACTTAGTTACTGCCGAAAGTTGTTAGTGGACATTATTATGGTACCTCAATGAGATATACTTCTATAGTACCAATTTCAAGAAAATCTAGGTATTGTAATAATATAATAATTATTCATGTTGTTTCTAATGGAATGAATATTAATGAGAAATACATAAAGCTTGCTACAGATGCTCCTCTATTCGCTTCAAATGATCTAAAAAACTTATTTCTACTTGGAGAACCACCAGAAAACTCTGGTACTTTCTTGATACACCAAATATTTTTTTTTTCTCACAGTATATATTCCCGAGCATTAAATCGAACTTGTTTCTGAAAATGTTAAAATGTAATACAATAAATTAGACCGCTTTTTTTTTCATGACAAAAAAATGACTTTTCGTGTCCCGCTTGATGTAATTACATTTTATTTCACACTAATAAAGAGAAAAGTAAATTGCTCGATGGGGAAATTAAGGCTTCGCAGTATGTAAATATTAAAACACGCAATAAGATAATGAGGGAAATTGATGGAGCAAGGTCTTTATTGACGAGATTTTTCATAGTTTATTAAATTGATAGGAATTAATTTGAAAAAGAGCGGTACTTTGAACACATACATAGAGGTACCTACCGATTTATCTCAATTATTTGTATGTCCAGGTTATTTAAATTACGAATAGCTCTCCGCAAATAAGGGCTAAAATCTGATAAATCAGGATAGGACGTTAAAAAGTAAAAATAGTAAGTAATTGTGGAACTTTTTTTCCTTCATAATTTTAATTTTCTTTCCAACCTATAATCAATTCGAACCAAGCAATGAAATCCCTTATAATTTAAACATAGTTATATCTACCAAAATGGCCCTATAACGAGCTTCTGAAAAGAGCCACTCAAAATTAATTTGCGGTTTGGTCTGACAGTTTTGTTTTAACTGCCTATATATTTAAAATATTTTTATTTAGTAGGTTTTTGTTTGAAACTGTAGTTATTAGATGAAAACAATATCTAGAACCAGTCCTAACTGTAACGGACAAGAATAAAGTAGCTGGAGAATCTACGTTGCCATTAAAATTGTCAAATTAATTTATGATGTCAAATTTTTCAATAAACTTTGGGAAACAGTAACGAGAGCGTGCATTTTTAATATTTTTTCAAATTTTCAATGTTGCCAGTCGAAAAACCCATAAACGCTCTTATGAATAATTTTAGTTTTTGATATAAATTAGATTAGGTTTGACTGCATTAATAATTATTGTTATGGTCCTTCAGTACGTGCCTGATGAATTTTTATAACTTATTATTGTTGATGCATGACATGATAATTTCTGGTCTGAATATTGGTGACTATTTCCTAAATAATGATGTCGGCTATATCAACTAATTCTGGAGCCGCAAACTTTGTCATAGTCTTGGCACACCCAGCCTCTGGCAGCATTGTCTCTTCCTCTGTTCTCTTGCTCCTTCCTACGGTCTCTCTTTTCGGTCTCGTGTCTGCGTCCCTGTTCTTCAAAAGTTTGTGGTCCGTCGTGGACTACTCGACGCCATGAGGGTCCATCATTTGCCGGCGTCTCCCAGTAATTGTTGGTATGGATGCAGCACTTTGCCATATTTTCCTGAAGAATATCTTTGTAGCATTTTTGTTAACCTAAGTCCTTGAATTCGTTTTCCCTCTTTCAGTTGACTGTAGAGAATCTGTCGTGGAAGACGTGTTTTGGGCATACGGACGAGGTGACCTGTCTAGCGAAAGTGGTGCCTAATGATCAAAGTGGCCTACTAATCCCCTACAAAACTAAGAATAACTTGGGTTCTTGCAAGATCTTCCATGCTAGTTGTTTTGATGTGTATCTCAGTTTGAGATATGGTGCAAATCTTACTTGAATTTCATGTAAAATGCAAAAATGCCAATAAACAAAATACTTTTATTTTTTACATTAAATTATTAACAGATTAGATTGAATTGATAAGAGAACTGATTGATTGGATAAAGTAAAGCTATTCTTGTAATTGTAATTATTACAAAATATTAAATTTGTTGGAAATTAACCTCAATGGTTATTATAATAATGAAAAATAGGCGGTAAAAAACAAGCAAGTCAAGTGTCAGCCTGTCGAGACGTCTGGTGTCAAAAATCCGAAAGGCGTTTTCATTCGTTCCACGCGAACTACACTAGGTTGGTTCGCTTTATTAAGTACAAGTTCACTAAACATATCGCCCCCTTTGAAAGCCTGTAGGCTTTAAAAAGAAAAATGTTTGTTATTGGTTGGGAAGGACACTTAGTTTCGTAACTGGTCTTTTGAAGGTTCCGTTCATTGTTTTCACATCCACAGCAGGCACTATTCCATCATCAGAGCCTAGATACAAAGGTTCAATTCTTCCAACTCGCCACTTTAACGGTGGAAGGTCATCTTCCTTAACTAGGACCAGAAGGCCAGGTTTTAAAAGTTGTGGGTAGTTTTCTTTCCATTTAGTTCGAATTTGTAGCTGAGAAACGTACTCCTTTGACCATCTAGACCAAAATGTTTACACTAACTATTGCAGATGTTGAAACTTGGAAAGTCTATTTTCCTTGATTCCCAAGAGATTGACCTGTGGTGTTGATGTCAGTGGTTCTCCAATGAGAAAGTGCGCGGGAGTTAGACAAGAGGAGTCATTAGGATCATCAGTAGGGGAATAAAGAGGTCTGGAATTCAAACAGGCCTCTATTTGGTTCAAGAGTGTGATAAATTCCTCAAAGGTTAAAGTTGAGTTGCCGACTATTCGTTTCAAATGGTGTTTACAGATTTTACACCGGACTCCCACAGTCCGCTTAAGTGAGGGCGCAAGGAGGTATGAAATTCCATTCAATGCCTTGATTGGCCAAACTGTCAAACATGAAAGAGGACACTGAGGAAATTGAATTCTTAAATTGTCTTACTAGAATTTTCTTCATTGCAGACAAAATATCTCTAATAACTGCCATAAATTATCTATCTATTACTGAATAACGTATTTTTATGGTTGCTAAAAATTCTTTGTTGAATTATCCTCATTATCACCTAT